TAGAGACAGGAGCTCACCCTGTCTTGCGGCACCTGGGTCTTGAACCGCTGAACTACTGACCTTCCACAGCCTGCGTCTTAACCACTTGAGCCACCGCAGGTTAAGTTGGGGGACAGTGCAGTAAAAGGAAGATCTGATCTGAAGAAGTGAGCAGTGACTCACGAAGCTCCCACCCTGCCACAAATGTTGCTAGCCAGTTTGGTGTAGTGGTTAAGTGCGCGGACTCTAATCTGGGAGAACCAGGTTTGATTCCCCACTCCTCCCCTTGCACCTGGCTGGATGGCCTTGGCCAAACCATAGTTCTGGCACAGCTGTTCTTGAAAAAAGAGCAGTTTGTGTCAGAGTTCTCTCAGCCCCGCCTATCTCACAGGGTGTGTCGGTTTTGGGAAGGGGAAGGGAAAAGAGTTTGTAAGCCGCTCCGAGACTCCTCTGGGTAGTGAAGGGCGGGGTGTAAATCCAATCTCTTCTATTCTAGTCTTTAAAGTGCTGCTGGACTCTGGCTCTTTTCTACTGTAAAAAGAAGGTGATACATACAATAAACATTTTAAAAATGTCCTCTGGACCCGAACATTTCTCTTTTGCACATTCTATGGAATGATAGTGCCGTGGGAGCCTCCCTAACCTCCCTAACCTGGGAGCACCACAGGGGAGGGGCCGTGGCTCAGTGGCAGAGCATTTGCTTGGCATGCAGAAGGCCCCAGGTTCAATCCTCGGCATCTCCAGTTAAAAGGTGATGTGAAAGACCTCTGCCTGTGTCAAGGAAGCACGAGGCTAAATCCCATGGGTTCCCAGGGCAAGTGTACACAAGAATCAGACTGTCGTTTCATAAAATAATTAATAGGTTTATTTGGGAAATATTAACAGGAAAAGACTACTGGCAACACTTTACTCTTAAAATAGAACAGAAAATAACAAAGCTAGCTTCAACTACCTAACACTTGCAAGAACTGTGTTAGGCGGCACAAACCTTCGTTCTGAGTGGAAGGCCTCAAAACATGTTGTCTACATTTCTAGCAATTACAGATCATAGCCTTGGTCCATAGTCCATGAAAATCCTGGGCCGTAGTTCAATTATAATTTTGGCCCAGCACATCAGGTGACGATGACATCCAATCAGAACATGTCTCCAGGAGAATGCTCCAGAAGGTTACCTCATACTCTTGGCCTCCCCCCTCCCATCACAGATCACAGGTTCCCCCGAGGAACCAATGATCCGGCTCCCATCATCGGCCATGAAGATGATATGAGATATGCAGGCCGAGAAACCCATTAACAACAATTGCAAGACAGTTCAGGCCTGTTACCACCCACATTAACCCTTGAGGGGAAGGGGACAGTGTTCCCTTTAAGCTGAGTTAGTGTGAGCCAGTTCACATTTTTTTAGCCTCCGGCTCACACATTTGTACCTTAGCTCAGGAAGGATGGGCAAACTAATTTATGCAGTAGCCAAATTGCTTGTTCACAACTTTAATGCCAGAGTAGCTCACAAAGTAGAATTTTTGCTCACAAGACTCCACAGCTTAGAGGGAGTATTGGAATGGGGGGAGGGAGGAGCTTTGACTGACAGCCTGAGACCCTGGAGAGCTACGGCCAGTCTGAGCAGACAATACTGACTTTGATGGACCACTGGCCTGATTCAGTATAGGGCAACTTCAACGGGCACGTGAATGGGCAGTTGCCCATCGTACCCATTCGAAAAGTGGCACCTTCTGAAAGCTTTGCTCAAAACACCGAAGCTGTCACAGTGGAGCATTATGAGAGAGGCAGACCCAAAGGTACAGGGATCCAAGGCCATTAAGGGCTTTCTGGGTGATAGCCAGAGCCTTGGACTGAACCCTGTAAATGACCAGTAACCAATGGACTGTCGGCAGAATGTCCTTCTGCCTAGTTTCTGATAGCCACCGAGCCATGGCATTCGGTACAAACTGGAGTTTCTGAATGGGCTCTGAGGGCAGACCCCTGTATTGTGCATCACCATAGGTTAGCCCCAAGGCAACTATAACGTTGATCCACAGCTTTCCAAAACACAGTATACAAACAGAGTATTCAGGACAGCCCCCGATTTGGGCAGGAAAGAAGGGTCTTCATCTACCTCCCAGAGGCTGGTTCAAGCACGTCTAAAGTGGTTCCAGCTGACAGGTGCCACAGTGGGGGAAATTCTCACCCACGACCCAATTAACCTGACATCCCCAAAAGATGGGATGGAAGGAGAATCATACAATCAATGTCTTGGTTTTCACTTCGTGTAAAAATGGTCTGGTCATCCCACCTCAGAAAGGATATTATAGCATTGGGAAAAGGGCAGAAAAGGGCAACTAGAATGATAAAAGGGTTGGAACACTTTCTCTATGAAGAAAGGTTGAAGCGCTTGGGGAAAACTTGGAGAAACAGCGGCTGAGGGGTGACATGACAAAGGTTGACAAGATTATGCGTGGGATGGAGCAGGTAGTGAAAGAAGTGATTATTTTTTCCCTTTCTCACAAGACAAGAACTCCTTGTGGGCACTCCATGAAATTGCTGAGCAGTCGGGTTAGAATGGATCAAAGGAAGTCCTTCACCCAAACAGTGATTATCACATGGAATTCCCTGCCACGGGAGGTGGTGGCGGCTACAAACCTGGACGGCTTCAAGAGGGGATTGGATAAGCATATGGAGCAGAGGTCCATCAGTGGCCATTAGCCACAAGGTATAGATAGGAACTCTTGGGCTGGGGCGAGTGATGCTCTGTATTCTTGGTGCTTGGGGTGGGGTGGGGTCAACAGTGGGAGGGCTTCTAGTGTCCTGGCCCCACTGCTGGACCTCCTGAGGGCACCTGGTATTTTTGGCCATTGTGTGACAGAGTGTTGGACTGGATGGGCCACTGGCCGGATCCAACATTGGCTTCTGTTATGTTCTTACGTTCCTGCCTGGATCTCTTGCTTCAAGCCAAGTCAAGTTCTAGAATGGCCAGCTCTAGGTTGGGAAATTCCTGTAGATTTGGGGTTGGAGCCTGAGGAGGGTGGGGTTGGGGGAGGCATATAGTGCCCTAGAGTCCACCCTCCAAAGCAGCCATTTCCTCCAGGGGAACTGAGCTTCGTTATCTGGAGAACAACTATAATTCTGGGAGGTCTCCGGGCCCCACCTGGAGGTTGGCATGCCTAGTTACTGCTCTCATACTGGCATATTCAACAACCCACTACTTCTCCAACGCTGCTTCTCACCCACCATGTAGTCTCCTCTAACCACAAGGATGGATGGAGACATGCACAGAATCCAAGACAAGAGAGGCCAGCTAGATGCGCAGAGGTGAGATGCATAACTACCTTAATCGGAAGCATGTGGCCTAGCTGTGGAGCACACCTGTGGGAGTAGGAGGAAGGATGTTGGGCTAGGGGGGGGGTCCCCTCTGCCTGCTACTCTTTGTGAGCTGAGGGTCCAGGACTGAGGCCTGAAAGCGCACATCTCAGGTCAACTGAATTCAACAAGATTACCTATAATTTCAGTGTGTTTGCGAGAGTTGGACTATAAGGAAGGCCGAGCGCCGAAGAATAGATTCTTTTAAACTGTGGTCCTGGAGAACACTTTTGAGAGTCCCTTGGACTGCAAGAAGATCAAATCAGTCAATCCTAAAAGAAATCAACCCTGACTGTTCCCTGGAAGGCCAGATAATGAACCTGAAGCAAAAATACTTTGGCCACCAAATGAGAAGGGAGCACTCACTGGAGAACACCCTGATGCTGGGCAAGATTGAAGGTCAAAGAAGACGGGGACGGCAAAGGATGAGATGGTTAGACAGTGTCATAGATGCAATGAACATGAAATTGAGCAAACTTCAGAGGACGGCAGAAGACAGGAAGGCCTGGCGTGATCTGGTCCATGGGGTCAGGGCCGGCTCCAGGGTTTTTTGTACTCTAGGCGAGGCCACCTTCTGCCGCCCCCCCCCCGCACGCATGCCCACCAATTATGGGGTTGCCAACCTCCAGGTGGGGCCTGGAGAGAAGGAAGTCCAGCTGCTGAAAGCTCCTACCCCGCTACAAATTTTGTTAGTCTTTAAGGTGCTACTGGACTCTTGCTCTTTTCTACCAGTAATAGCAGAGTTAGGTAAAAAAAGACGAAGACACATTAATAGGGACAAGGGACATTTTATTTATATAAAATAGGTCTGACCTTTCCCATAGTCAAAGCCCTCCAGGCAGCTTACAAAAGAGGAAAAAACAGCACGTCTATAAAATCTATTT